CATTATTCTTAATGATCTTCGATTGTATCTCTATTATGATGACATGTAGGGAACTTTTGAGAATGTTTTGGGTTGTCGAATGATGCCATCCAATCCAATAATATAAGGAAAATCTGAGGGTTAACTAGTGATGTCACGGTTAATTTGGGGCATTGTCGTTCATAATTCAATGAAGGAATAACTGGAAATTGATTCATATGCATAAATATCATGTGTGGAGAAATAACCTCTAGCTAATTCACCAACCATCTTGTTTCACAACACTTGTTTACAATCTGTCCATTTTTGCATTTTGCTTGTTTATTTCAACTTCGTCAAAACTAAAACCCCTTTTTTTTTATTTCCTTGTTCCCAAGTGTCTTAAATCTGTTTTAATTTAGTTTTTATGTTTTTAAGTCAATTTAGAAGGTTTTAGCAAGCCCTCCTAATCCCCGGTCTAGAACGATCCCTCACTTATCCATTCTACTACAATTGTCAAACGAGGGTTTAATTTGAGTGTCAAGTAATTCTCGCATCAAATTTTGGCGCCGTTGCCGGGGATTAGCAACTTTGCTAGTCCCTTGTCTTTATTTTTATTTATTTATTTTTTTTTTTTGTTGTTTTTTTTCGTGCATTCTTATTTCAGATTCTTAGTTTGTTTGTTTTCTTGTTTTTCAGGTACTGTGTATGACTCGTAGCTCTCGGCCTATTATAAAGAACATCTCCGACTTTGACGGTGATTTTGAACGCACTTTGAGGAGAACGAGGAGTCAACAAGAGCCACCACAACCTCCACCACAACCTGGGCTTGAAGAAGACGAAGTAGGTGTAGAAGAAAAGCCCACGGATCAGATTTTTGAAGAAGAACAAACCATGGCAGCAGATAATAGAACCATCAAGGAGCTTTCGGCCTCGGGTTTGGATAATGCATTGCCTCTTTGTATCCAATACCCCACGGCTGCAGAAGGGAAGACTGAGGTGTTTGAACTCAAATCCAGTTTGTTACACCATATTCCGAAGTTCCATGGCTTGTCTATGGAAGACCCCAACAAACACTTGAAGGAGTTCGAGGTGGTTTGTTCGAGCATGACCCCCGTCACTGTGGATGGGAGTATAATGATGATGAAGGCCTTTCCATTTTCACTTATGGACAAGGCCAAAGATTGGCTCTACGAACTAGCCCCGGGAACTGTGACTTCGTGGGAGAGTATGAAGCGTGCTTTCTTGGAGAAATTCTTCCCTACTTCGAGAGTGATTCTCCTACGGAAGAAAATTAGTGGTATTCTACAGAATCATGGTGAGACATTCCCGGCTTATTATGAGCGTTTCAAGGGCCTTGTAGCTTCATGTCCTCAACATCAAATGAAGGAGGAACTTCTCCTTCAATATTTCTATGAGGGCCTCCTTCCTATCGAACGTCAAATGCTTGATGCATCAGCGGGAGGAGCATTGGTGGACAAAACACCAAGGGATGCCAAGATTCTCATAGCCAACCGAGCGCTCAACGCTCAACAATATGAAGGAGTGGGCCAAAGGGAAGCCCCACGACAACAAAGTGTAAATGAGGTTAGTGCTATTTCTGAAATTCAATCACAACTTGCTAATCTTACTTCTCTTGTTTCTCAGGTTGTGATTGGTCCAAAAGCACAAGAACACGAAGTTTGTGGCGTGTGCTCAATTCAAGGGCATCCATCCGACAAGTGCCCTCAACTAATCGAGAATGGTGGGTGGGAATCTGCCAATGCAATTGGTTTCCAAGGACAAAATCAAAACAACCCATACTCGAACACTTACAATGCCGGATGGAGGGACCATCCAAACTTCAAATGGAGGGAACCACAACAAGCTGCCCAACAAGGAGGATTTAGGCCAAACCCCCCTGGTTTTTATTCCAAGCCGTATGCACCCCAACAATCCCAACAACCTTCGGCATCATCTCATTCAGGTACGTCCTTGGAAAGTAATCAAGCTATGCAATTACTAACCTCTATTTCGCAGGGGTTGCAAAATCAAAACAACCGGATAGAAAATAACAAGAAGGAGATGATGGATATGAAGAAACAAATAGGGCAGATTTCTGAGTTCCTTGGACAGATTAGAGAGCAAGGAAAGCTTCCTAGCTCAACCACAGTCAATCCAAAGGGAGGATTCGAATCCGCCAAGGCCATCACCCTAAGGGGTGGAAAAGAAGTTGGGACCGAGCCAAACAATCCCAAATCTGCCCAGAAAGTAGATGAAGAGACGACACAACCTGAGGAAGTGTCTAGCTCACCCACGGAAAGAGTGAAAAACCCAATGCCGCAGGCCCCCAATCACCCTAACTCGGCCAAATCAGGTAATTTAAATTCAAATTCATGTACTTCACGTCCTAATCTGCCCAATGTACCTTTTCCTCGCAGGTTCATGCAAGAAAAAAAGGAAGAAAGCGAGAAGGACATTCTTGAAACGTTCCGGAAGGTGCAAGTGAACATACCGCTTCTCGATGCAATCAAACAGGTTCCAAAGTATGCTAAATTCCTCAAGGACCTATGCAATACAAAGAGAAGAAGGGCAAACAAAGAGGTAGTGAAGGTAAGCGAGAATGTGTCCGCTGTTTTGCAACGTAAACTGCCTACCAAGTGCAAAGACCCCGGTAGTTTCACGATTCCTTGTGTGATTGGACATAATCGTTTTGAACATGCCATGCTTGATTTAGGTGCATCCATAAATGTCATGCCTTATTCTATTTATGCATTATTGAATAAATTGAATCTAACCATTTTTTATTTTTTTTTAAAATTATCTCTAACAGAGGAGAGTGTAATCAAAATGCTAGATTATAGGAAATTTTTAAAATATAATGTGCATATAACACCAAAATTATGACAAAAAAAAGTTTAATCAAATCACTAAAAGGTATGGATGTTTGATCTAGAAAATTCAAAACTGGGGCGCCTATATCAAAAGATCCCTATTGCTAACCCATTGTGAAGCTAAGCTCATCCCTCTCCCCCTTGGCAATAGGTAATTCAATCCCCTCAAGTGAATAATAACTACCTTTAATGAACAGTAATTGCCTATTGCATCTCTAGCCCTATACTGAATAGCCTGTGACATCCCATATCGCCCAGGGGAGTGATCCTTAAATGTATATTCCCATCCCTACCTAACACGAGGCCTTTTGGGAGCTCACTGGCTTCGGGTTCCGTAGGAACTCCGAAGTTAAGCGAGTAGCGCGCGAGAGCATTCCCAGGATGGGTGACCCATCGGGAAGTTCTCGTGTGAGTTCCCAGAAACAAAACCGTGAGGGCGTGGTCGGGGCCTAAAGCGGACAATATCGTGCTACGGTGGTGGAGCGGGTCCGGGAAATGGTCCGCCCCGGGCCGGGATGTGACAATTTGGTATCAGAGCCTAACCCTGGCCGTGGTGTGCCGACGAGGACGTCGGGCCCCTAAGGGGGGTGGATTGTGACATCCCACATCGCCCAAGGGAGTGATCCTTAAATGTATATTCCCATCCCTACCTAACACGAGGCCTTTTGGGAGCTCATTGGCTTCGGGTTCCGTAGGAACTCCGAAGTTAAGCGAGAAGGGGGCTAGAGCAATCCCATGATGGGTGACCCCTGGAAAGTTGCTCGTGGGTTCCCAAAAACAAAACCGTGAGGGAATGGTAAGCCCAAAGCGAACAATATCGTGCTACGGTAGTGGAGCGGGCCCGGGAAGTCGTCCCACCTGGGCCGGGATGTGACATTGGTATCAGAGCCTATCCCTGGCCGGAAATGTGCTGACGAGGACGTCGGGCCCCTAAGGGGGGGTGGATTGTGACATCCCACATCGCCCAGGGGACTGATCCTTATATGTATATTCCATCTCTACCTAGCACGAGGCCTTTTGGGAGCTCACTGGCTTTGGGTTCCGTAGGAACTCCGAAGTTAAGCGAGAAGGGGGCTAGAGCAATCCCATGATGGGTGACCCACTGGGAAGTTGCTTGTGGGTTCCCAAAAACAAAACTGTGAGGGAATGGTAAGCCCAAAGCGGACAATATCGTGCTACGGTAGTGGAGCGGGCCCGGGAAGTCGTCCCACCTGGGCCGGGATGTGACATAGCCAGACAATCCGTATTAAAATATTAGTATTTTTTATTTTAAAAATAATAAAAAATAATTTATTTTTTGATTTCGGATAGGATTTTTAACCAATCTCGTCACACCACGTATCATTATCCAAAAACACAATTTTTGTGAATAGATTTCGATAAGATTTTTAACCAATTCTGTCGCGCGACATGTCCTTACCTATTTAGAATCGTTGAAAATATTGAAATATGGTGTAAGGTGAGACAAAATGGTAAGATATTTATAGAAAAAATATATATATATATATATAATTTTTTTTGAATTTTTTTCTTCAGATTTTTAATTTTGTTTAACTTAATTAATTGGAAGCGTTGGTTACAAAAAGTTTGAAATCCAACAGTTCAAATTGTGATGCGTAGCCCATCATAACATTTTTTTTAAGCCGACAAAACCTAGACCGTTGATTTAAAAATCAAACGGTCCAGATTCAACTGTAACTGAGTGGGGCTGACACGCGAGCCTGACCGTCTGAAAATATGTCAGAGATGCGCCCCCATGAGCAGCTGACGCCAATTCTTTTAGAACGTGGCTAACGTCAGTTCCCCCTCAAGCACTCGGGTCTTGAACTTCAGCCTAACCTTTCCCACGGGCTCCCCCTCAACCCCATTGCTCTACTGGGTTGGGGCGACTTTTGGGGCAATTGAATTGGATTTGTTGCCAATCCCCATGGCAAAATACCATGGTGGAGCTGCTCTTAGTGTAGATAGTATCCCCTCTCCCTCTTAACGTAGTTGATACCATTTGTTAAAAAAAAAAAAATTAAAAAAAAAACTAAAGTCATATTTTGAAATTCACTAGCCGTACCTTGTCACTTAAAAATATCTTTGACAACCCAAACACAAGAAGAAACAAAGAAAAGCAGAAAATTACCGACCATATATTATATAATTAAAAACAAAAAATAAAGAAGAATACCAACGGCTTTTAACCACCAGGACTCGCACTATCAAATTATCACGGCTCTCTCTCACGGACATAAATAAGCTTGAAAAAAATGCAGGTTTCCGGGGTAATTGGCGACGTTTCGTTGGTAATTCCCTCCGGTGGTGGTCTCAGGTGGCCAGAATTCGGACACTTCCATGCCCACGGCCACAACCATTCACATCCACTCACCGATTCCAAGTCATTTCTTTCGGCTTCTGTTTTCAGAGTAAGCTCTCTCCTCCAGTTACTCATTCATCTTCTGCTATTGCCTTTGGCTGCTAAGAAAGTGTGAGAAATTTAATGGGTATTTTTAGATTTTAATTTATCGTCTTGGGGTTTTTTTTTTTTTTTTTTTCCCCAAAGCTCTTTTCGTTTCTTGGGGAAAGATTGGATAGAACCCAGTTCAGAACTGTAATTTTGTCCTGTTTGGTTGCCTAGAAAGTAGAAAAAGAAAATTTTTAGTTTTCATTTTCTTTAATTTAGGACCTGAGAACTCCATTGTTCAGTTGCGGATCCAAAATTTATACCGTGAGGGGTCATGGAGGCAAGTTTAGGGGCCTCCAATGAGTCAATATACAGCTTCAGTGGGGAAGTTTCCAACTTGACCCCTTTGGTCCCTTGCTGCATCCGCCAGTGGATGCATACTTATAACTTTTTAATGTTCTTTTGCTGTCATTTTGTATCAGTGATTCTAAATATCGAAAGTGATATACTTGATTTGATACTTGCTCCTTAATTAGCATTGCTCTAATAATTTTTCCATGTCTTCAATGAATTTGTACTCCCATATATTCTGTTTTTGTTTTAACCAATGCTGAACCTTTTGATTCTACCGATCTGTTTCATAAGGTAGTTGCTTCCAAGGGGTCCAAGGGGATTATTCACCATTGTATATGTAGGTATACATAGAGGCTTTCGACGTTAAGGATGTCCTTATTTAAGAAAACATCACCGTTAATCAAGTATCAGATTGCTGAAATTCAATTAATAAAGTTGTATGGTTATTTCCGCACTACATTCCTATATGCCATCCTGTGCTGGCACGTCCATCATGGGGCACTAAGGCAAGGTTATGGATGCTTGGTGTGCTAACATAATTTTCGTTTTCTTTTCTAGAGTTGTCCTTCATTTTGCATCCCAAAGCTGGGAAACGGACCATATAACTGCCGAGCAAGGGGGTTGGTTGTGAGGGCATCAAAGGATTCAAGTGATAATTTGGTGCCAGTTTCTCCTCTTCAATTTGAATCTCCCCCTGGCCAGCTTTTGGCCCAAATATTGCAAACGCATCCACATCTTCTACCTGCAGCCATTGATCAGCAGCTTGAGAACCTTCAAATAGATAAAGATGCCCAAAGAAAAGAAGCTGCTTCATCTGCAAATCTCCTCTACAAGTACGTACTGTGATTTGTCAAATTAGTTGTTTTGGTTTTGTTGTTGAATAGATGAGTAAATGTTAAGTTTTTTTTTGACACGCGTCTTCATTTGATACACACTATCGGAGTCGTTAACAGTTCCTCTCTAGACACTCCCCTCAGTGGGCCCAGTTAAATAAATTGATCCAAATCGTAAGGCCTTATTGGTAGTGTATATCACCAATGGTTTAGGGAAATTCTGATTTGGTTTCTGTTCTTAATTTTTGTTTAGTTTGTAGTAGGGTTAGGATTACTTTCCCCTTTGTAGCAGGATTAAGGTTATTATAAATAAATATGTGCTTTGTGATTCAATAGAGCAGACTTGAATGATTGCTTTGGGCTGATTGGCTCAATTTTTTGTTTCGTTTGGATAATGAAACATGATTGCATTTGACAGATCAATAACTTATGGGTGAGAATACATGTAATTATCGAAAATTAAAAACGGATATTGCAAAATACCGCGTTAGATCTGCACTGTTGTTATAATGATATCATCCCATCTTATGCTCACTTCGCCTTTTTCTTAAAACGATAAGTTTGAAATCCATATAGTTCCCTTTTCTTTGAATTGTACTAGGTTTAAAACCCTTAGAGATTAGCATTGTAATACAGGTTGAATAATGTTATGTGCTGCTCCGGTTATTTCCCGTTTTCAATCTGGTTTTTTAATAAAATGTTTGGCCACAGGAGCTTTGGTTGCTTAAGTAACCACTGTTGAATAATAGCTACAAAGTTTTATTTATTTTCATGAAATTCAATTTGAAGTAGACACGATCAGGTGTCTAAAAGGTACTGTTATCAATTTTTTCTTCACACTGTAACTAGCTTTATACATATCCAACAAGGTCTTTGCTCTTTATTTGTTCTCCTCAACTTTTGTTTTCTTAGTTGTTTTGGTGTCTGGGAATGAGAACTAATTAAGTTAAATCATGAATTTTAGACGAATAGCTGAAGTCAAGGATAAAGAAAGGCGCATGGCATTGGAAGAGATAATATACTGCTTGATAGTGCATAAATTCGTAGACCGTGAAATTTCAATGATCCCGAAGATATCAGAGACATCAGATCCCACCGGTAGAGTGGACTTCTGGCCAAACCAAGAAAAGAAACTAGAGTCTGTTCATTCTCCTGAAGCATATGAGATGATACAGAGCCACTTATCCCTTGTACTTGGTGAGCGACTTGTGGGCCCCCTTTCTTCCATGGTTGAGATTAGCAAAATAAAACTTGGAAAGCTGTATGCTGCTTCGATAATGTACGGATATTTTCTCAAAAGAGTTGATGAACGGTTCCAGCTTGAGAGATCCATGAACACCCTTCCTGAGGGTTTCACTGCAGATCCAGCACCAGCAAACCAGCTGTGGGACCCTGATTCATTGATTCGGATAGCTCCTGAAGGTGCTAGTGATAGTGATAGTGATAGTGATAGCAAGTCATACCGACTGAGATCCTATGTGACGTACTTGGATGCAGAGACACTTCAGAGATATGCTACTATAAGATCAAAGGAAGCTATTTCTTTGATTGAAAACCAGACACAAGCCCTGTTCGGGAAACCTGACATCAGGATTGCTGCGGATGGTTCAATTGACACATCTAATGATGAGGTGATTGCGCTTACCTTCTCTGGATTGACAATGCTCATCTTGGAAGCTGTTGCTTTCGGATCATTCCTATGGGATGCTGAAACCTACGTTGAATCTAGATATCACTTTGTCAAAAGCTAAAGATGATGTTATGTTTCTTTATTTACGCCCAGAAGCTGCATAAAATCATCATGTATTGAGCATGGTGTAATGAGTTTCTTCTTCTTCCTGTAAATATAAAATGTTAGTGAACTTCTTTTACCAAATTTACAGATCGGATCGTGTTGCAAATTTGAACTAATTTATCCCAATACTAACACTGGGACCAATGTATACATAACAGAAATGCAGAAATATAAAATTGAAAACCTTTTACCAGTGAGGCCAAAAAAGCAACACTCTCGGAAACAAAGTTAGTCGCTTTCTTGCACCACATGGCTACCATCTAACGGATGGATGGTGGAAACAACAAGGACAACCTCAGGGGGAGTCTTTCCTTCCTGTTTTTCTGTGTTTAACGATCATATTTTCTTTGAATGTGCATGTTTGCTGAGTGCTTGTCCTGATTGTTGTGTGGAGGTTTCAATATTTATGTATGCATTCGATTTTGCCTTTGTTTGTCTGAATTAATACCGTTCAATTCTCACTATGTTGTGTTATGTGTTCATGGTTTTTAGATTGCATGGTTTGGTTTCCTTCTGCATCTTACTATCTGCGTAATGAACATGATTTCTGCAACATGTCTTTATATCTATTTTTTCTATCTTGTCATTGTCGCAGATGGTTGTATATCTATTAGATTTGACAGATTGTGTATGAGGTTGTGTGATATGTAGTTTTGCAAGGTAAGCGAAAGGAGAAGATTGTAGAAACCACCTTCTATGTAGTTGTCCAATTAAGCTCTAAAACACCATTAGAGTAGTCTTAGAACTAAGTTTGTAAGTGGCACTTGCTTGAAGGAAGCTGCTGTGAAGTTTCAAGCAACTTATCGTGGTCGAGCTTATCACAAATGGAGGTACGTTGAACTTCATATTCATGCATCACATAGGAGCATTTGCTAGATATTTCTTTCTACTTATCAATCTACAGGAATTGCATTGAGCTGCTCACGATATAGTTGTCGATTCATCCTATCTCATAGAGTTTATTTGATTAGAGATGCATTGTTTATACAAATGACACAAATGTACTTCATACATATCATATAGAGTTAGGTTCTCAAAATCGATTCAACCAAAATTTCATGGTTAACTTGATTTGATTGACGTGTCCATTGGAGAATAGTTGAATCCATTTCCTACCTCTCTGTGCATTTGGAAGAACAAGCTTGGTTGAGGGATCGAGCTAAGGAGATACTTGCCTTCATCTGCAACTGCAAGCAGGAGCTAGAAATTGAGCTGCAAATAGAGCAAAACTGCACAGGTACCAGTTGCTATTTATGATAGGATATTGGGTGATTGAGTTGCGATTTGTACCTTGTATGAACTTTTGTTTTGAGTGGACTTGTTCTTCAACTTAGTCAAGAGTGACTGATTTTTTTAGACTCTATTTAGAAGGTTTTTTTAGCCACCAATTACCTTGTGCTATTTCTATAAACTCTTATCTTTTTAGTAAAAGATAATTGAAAATCCTAAACAACTAGAATTAAGGACACTTACCTTTCTTATTCGAAAACTCTTAAACAAACTTTCTTTATCATTAAGGGCACATTTTTTTATTATTAAGGACACTTTCTTTATTATTAAGGACATTTTCTTTTAAGAATGAGGATCCTTCTTGGATCCTCTTTGTGAGGATTATGGGTATTCTCAAATCGTGTCCGTTCATCGTACATTGTGCGGCCAGAAATCATTCTAAATACTTTTATGTAAAATTAAATATGAATAGTACTAGAACTGGTTGCATGATGTACGATGAACGGATACGATTTGAGAATTCCCAGGATCCTCACAAAGAGGATCTGGAGAGGCTCCTTATTCTTCTTTTAATCCAAAACCCTCATGCAGTGTCACTTAGTACTACGGTTTAATGATATTCCTTTTAACTTGTAAGTGAGATGTCTTATGTTCGATTTTTGCCAAATATGAATTTGAACTACATTATTGTTAGCCTATTGTGAGGCTTAGTCTATCCCCTCTCTCTTAGTGTAGATAATATCGTTTGTTCAAAAAATAAAAACCCTCATGAAGTGAGACTCTCTTTTTGTTTTTTTTGTCCTTATAATATAAAAAATGTACTTGAGAGACTTTTTGTTAGTTCTTCCTAATTCAAAACCCATATGATGTTTAACACTCAAGGTTATGCATGAGTATTTGAAATAAAGTGAAATAAAATCACGAATATGACGTAAGGCCTCATGAATATAGTCTCGCATCATAGATTCAGCCATTTGTACAAGTGCATTTGGTATTTTACATGTGAGACGTATGATATGTTCAATTTATCTTATGGAGACTGCATATACATGAAAATCTTCAAAACTTCGAATAGATATTATAAAGGATATAAATGTCATGAAAATTTTGAGCAAAGATTTCAATCGAAGCGCGTAGCACTTTTTGGGATTTTATATTCATTATGAAAGTAATATATGAAGAATATCTCTCGACTGTCAGTTATATTATAATATCTGAAATCTGAAAGTATGTCAGTTTATATGGTAATAAGCTTTGATCAAGAATTTCATGCTATAACTTGTTTTTCATGACTATCAAAAGATATTTATGTCAACGTTCAGATAAATCGTAACATAGAGAATAAGTTATAATACGAAGGATAAATTTAGCGTGAAAATATTGACAATTAGGTAAAATTTTACTGTTATTAAATTTTTTCTAACAAAAATTTAATAAGCGCGTCCAATACTTTATTAATATTTGATACAACGTTATTCTCTTTTCATGCCACTTTGATTTTCTCCCATTGAATTTTCCAAGAAAAATTTGACCAAGTCTCCAAATAATCATTCCCTACCTAAAGAACATTCAAACTTCTTTTGCAAGATAAGTATTATTTAATACATATGCATATACCGCTTTATTACAGTGTCTAGAAATAACCATATCTAAGCATCCTAATACGGATTCGATCTCTACTAATTCTCGTTTCTTAATAATTAATTATTTAACTTACTAACATTACCGCACAACTCAAAAAGTATTATTTGATACACAAAGTTGATACAAAGAAAAAAAAGTAACAAGGAGAAAGTAATTGCCTTGCAGAACTAACGACAACGTGACATGAAGACGCCGTCCAAAAGCCAAAAGATTGCACAGCTGGTAATTCTCCAAAATGCCCTTAAGCGGCTTACTTGCGAAGCTTTCTCTCTTACGCCATCCTCACCGCCTTTTCAATTTAGGCAGCTGAAAAGTAAACCTCAATTCCGAAAATTATTCTAGAACCCCAAAGTTCCAACCCTCTTGTTTCTTGTGAGCGAATTTTCACTTGCTCTGCTTATATTTTATTTTATTTTTATACATTTTTTTTTTCTGGACCAACCGGATTAGGTCGATTATTGAGAGGGCAGGTTACTTTCTATCATATGTTTTCTTCTCGTGTATAAACTATTAAGCTCATAATTAAGAAAAAATAAATAAAGAAAAAGAATGAAAAATAAATAAAAGTCGTGGCTTAACATTCAATGGCCATATGACAGAGAAATATAATCAATAAATAGGTTAATGCCGTTTTTAGTCTTGTGACTAAATGTCATGAGGGAATGAGTCATCTTATGAAGATGTTGATTTCCATAATCTTCTAGTATACGTACTTGTCATAACTTGACACATACCCCTTTCCATGGTCATATTTAAAGGACGGGTGGACATACTTGGCCTAAATTATCGACATCATGAAATGGATGGAAACATTTGGTATATGTTAGAAAGGACCTTATTCTTATCTTTTATTTTATGAAAAATACTTGTGCCCACCATATGTTAGAACTTACTTGTCTATCCACTTGTAATTAACTTATATTTATTATGCAACCGTCATTATATAAATCATACATACTCTTTATTATCATATAAATATTAAAGATGATAAAAAAAAAAAAAAGGTCATTCATTTCAGAGTTCATTTGGTCATTCATATACATCAAACAAATAGATAGTTCATTGTGAGATCGCTTATAATTAATCTAAGAAAAACCTAGCTCAAAACGTCGACATTTTGGTGACGTTATTTTGGTTGGGCACTAAGTTTTGCGTCAAACATTCAGGCATTTCGTCGAATAAGTTATGAGTACCAAGAGTCATGAACTAGGAAAGCAAGGGGTCATCGAAGTTGCTTCCCAATCAATTTTCTCAGTCTCAAAGGAGTCACCTGACACTCTTGTGAATCCGCCACAGTGACAATATATACACACAACAAAAATTGAAAAGTAACATAGTTCTACTTTGGGGTATTTTAACACTAGGAGATACCAAAGAAATCACATCTGTGGATCACATGTGACCTATCTCTCTAATAAAAGTAAGACTGACCAATACAATCATGAACAAATATATATCACTTTTATTAAAAAAGTGTTTCACATGTAATTTACAAAACATAGAGTCTCTAACATTTTCTTTTAGCACCATACAAAAATGATAAACGACGATACGTACGTTGCCAGATTTATAGTTCGAATAAAAACATATAGGTGTAAGTTTATTCTCTTGTATGGACCTCCCGATTAGAATAATAACAAATATGAATAAATTAGTTAATTATAAATGGAATATCAGCTTTAGTAATTTTTCTTTTGGCATAAATCAATCAAAACCCATTACAACCCCACAAGGATCCATATCATATTGTTATTTAGTTGTTTGGATCTTTATTCCCGTTCATGAATATGTAGTTGTTAGCTTTTGTTATCCATCACCTACTGTATACATTAATATCATTTTGTAATATATATACACACACTACTTTATTTTAAATAAGATAAAGGTTGCACATTCTAATGTAATCAAATCTCTTTTAAAATTTAAATTCTAGTTTGCATTGTATGTAGAAATTTACGGCTCATTTAGAAGTGTTTTTAAAATGACTGAAAACATTTTTGATGAGGGTACTTTGAGAATCAATATTCATGAGTAAAAATGCAAGTGAATCTTGAAAAAGTACTTGAAGTGCTTTTTGCAAGACCAAAAATACTTCCATTAAAAGTGCATTCGGTAATTTAATAGTACTTTTAGACAAGTCTTTATAATTTACAAAATTTGATATGTTTGGAGAAATATTCAACAACAAAAAAATGTGTCCAGAAATAATATTT